CAACTTTGAGTGCGCACTCGTATATCCTTTGAGCAGCCCCCAGCCCCCATCTCGTTTCTTTTGCCAGTTTCCGTGTTTGAAATTAAAAACCAACAGTGGCCAAGGCCCGAGCCACGCTTAACCTACAATAACAACAACATGGGCATAGCTTGTTGACATTTTTCCATAATTACCGTGCGCAAAGTGAAGCATAATTGTTGATTTTATTTTGCATTATGCTGTGCACTTTTCTTTTTTTACATTATTCTTTTCTTTTCAACATTCTTTTTTTTGTTGCTGCAAATTACTTATGGGTAAAGCTGCGAGCGGCCATTGCAATCTTTTTAACAGGAGCGGCGGCAGCGCTGATAATGCTTTAACGTTAACAGAACCTTTAACAGCTGCTGTTGCTACTGCTGCTGCTACTGCTGTTACCCCAGCCTGGAAGCGTAGCCCCTTAGCAGTGTTCATTTCTGGAAACCGCGCACTGTTACGCGTACAGTACGTGGCGCTGTTAACGTGCTGCTAACACGCACATGAGCTCTGCCAATACAGACGCAATTGTTCAACTTTAACAGTGGCTGTGCTGTTAAGCAGCTGCTGTCACGCACATGAGTTCTACCATTGTGCTGTTAAGCGGCGCACACACACACACGCACACACACGCACACACACTTGTTAAGCCAATTGCGGGCGTCTTTTGGCGCTTGCGGAACTGCATTTAAAAATTATGCGCAAAGTCGGCTGAAAATGAATATATATTCACTTATACTCATACTCATGCCCACACTCATTGAGTGTATCACTAGCAGCTCCTGCTATTTGCTGCCCGCCCATTGTCAGCCCACCCGTTGCGTCCTGCCCCCCTCCCCATCACCTTACCCCCACGCAGCCTTATGCATATTTGCATAATGGTTCCAGTGTTTCAAAAACTTGCTAAACACTCTTGATAGACAAGATAAAACACTGGCGCTGGTATTTTTCCGCATAATTTATGTTGTTGCTATGTAGATTTTTCATGCCACACGCAACGCAGTCGTCGCGTCGCCGTCGCGTCGCGTTGCGGGGGCATGCCCCACCTGCCCCAACAAGGTGTGCAGCTATTCACCTGCTCGTTCGGCATGCTACATATATTTTTGTCGCGCAGCTTGCAAATTATTTTAATTGTTTTAATTAACTAAACATTGTAGCTACTAGAGATTTGCGGCTTTAGCAAAGAAGCTGACTTTTCTTGGGGCTTAGCTAAAATACTTATTATAATATAAAAATGTGAAAAGATTTCAAAGACAAGTGCGAAACTCTCTTTAAATAAATATCAATTTATTGCTAAAGTCAAGGCAACAAGAATTTTTGAAGATCCGCTTGCAGCAAATTTCCTTGGTTTAGTTCAATTTCATGCTTTTTGCCATTGCGTTTCAATTGCGGCAATAATATCACATTTTTTTCCAAATATATCTTGAAACAATCAATAAAATAGATTTGCAAACGAAATCAACTAAATTTCATTCAAGTGCGCAGGCTACAAAAATGGGAATATTTATTTTGATTGAAAAATAAATCGAATTTATGAATTTATTATGATAACATAAGCACCAACAATGGCAAAACGACAGTGACGACCTGCTACCCCCCGTCACCCGCCCCCTCTCCACCCACCCCCACCCACCAGTTAAAAGCCCGCCCGCATGGCAGTGCAAATTTTCGCATATGTAGTTGATTTTCTTTTGGGACAACAAATTCTGCAGCCCAACCCAACTTGGCCCACTTGGCCAGAGTGAAATTTGGCATGTGAATTTTCATCTGCTTTCCTTTTTTTTCTGCCATGCTGTCTGACGTTGTCGTTAGGCTAAAGTAAGGCCAATGAATATTTACTTTAAGCAAAACATACGACAATTTACTTTTTCTTCTTTGTATATTTGCTGGGGCACACACACTCACACACACACACCTGTGCAGGTGTTTGGGCCCATAATAAACTGTTAGCTTGTACAACACTTGTAATTCCATTGAGTTTATTTGCCTAATCACAAATTCAATATGCCAAAGTGTATTGGAATAAATTGCATTTCCAGCCGCATTTGCACTTGAACTTTGAGTGCCAATGACACTTGTCGTTGTCGTTGTTGTTGTTGTTGTTGCTGTTCTTATTGTTATTAAAAATGTAACATGAAATTTATGTTTATTAACAATGGAGCTGCAAATTGTTGTCCATGGGCGACAATTTTTGCAGGTAAGTGCCTGCTGCATTTTAAAAGCCGAAACATTTGTTGTGCGATTTTATTTTCACGAATATTTAAATTTAATACCTGAAGTAGAATTGGAGTACTCCAAAATTCATTCTTATATTTATTTGTAGCCTAATTTTTCGGACCATGCCTGGATTTATTTAATGTAAAGAAACATGTTTCTTCTATTTAAAACATAAATACGTATATATGTATGCAAAGGTGCCTTAAGCAATATGTTATTAAATTAAAACCGAACTCAAGAGTCAAACAGAAAATACTTGTGGAAACAGTTGCCTAATAACCAGAGGCTGGCACGTGTGGCAAGTCAACAGCGCAGATGAAAGTGCATTTAAATTGTGGCAAAAAGAGAAAAGAAAAACTCGGACTTTTATTTGAAGTTGAAATATTTTCGACTATGTCTACTTTGATAAAAGATTAGATTGTTGTAAGCACATATTTTAGTAGAGTTCTCTCTATTTGCTGTTCGGCTCTGCTCTGGGCAAATGCCAGCGGCCCTTTAATTTGTTAAATTGCCAGAGCTTCTGCTTTTTTATGGCCTTCATCCGCAAGAGTAAATAGTGTTTGTGGCAAAGTGAATTGAAAATATTTGCAGCTTGGCCTATTTGCATATGCCACTGAAAAAGACAATGTTGCAATATAGAAACTGTGTCTATTAATCAGACAGTACAGAGATTTGTCATATCGAAAAACTGCTCGATATTGATGATAACATGATTTTCATGTGGATTCCTTTCACTTGTTGTGCATCGCTTATGCGATTGTTACATTTGCTGCTGGAGCTTGCTGATAGAATTTGCCAGTAAATGCGCTTAAAACCTTTACTTATGGCTTGCCAACACAGGCGGACAGACAAATAGAGACATATCCAGGGAGAATCCAGAATCTCGGTGAACAGTGCAGGCCAAAGCTTACAATGTATACAAAGTCGGGACAGACAGATGTGCATAAGCAAACATATTGCGCATACGCCATGTTAACCATACGCTTGGCTCCTTGTCAACAGCTGTTTCTTTGTTATTGTTGGACAACCTTCTCCCCTCCTTCGCGTCCTCCCCCACTGGGTTTAATGACAAATGACATGGGCCACTGCACAACAGCTTCTCTCAGTGGCATTTTGTACTATTCTGCTGTGTTGTGTGGAAAATGCACAGATGAGTGGCGAGAGGGCCCAAAAAATTTAATGAAACATAGAAGACAGTTCTGAAGATGCCAGGACTCGAGGGTGCCAGAGTACAATGCTGACCCCAAAGCTGGCAGCAGCATGCATACATTGTCTGGCTTCGGGTTGAGAGACAGCTGAGATTGATTTGCATGCGACAGTTTTTGCAAAATGTCTTCTCTCATCCAACAGCAGCAGCAGCAGCAGCAGCAGCAACAAAAGCAACAGCAACGCAATTAGAAAATTTTAAATTAAAATCTATAGAGCCATAAAATGTTGTTGGTCAAGTTATTTGTCAAAGAATTGCATTGCCAGCAATTTAAGCGCAATTCTTCTTCTCTCAATACACTTATATCAATTTAATTTTTTCTAACTAGTTATTTAGAGATAATAGAATAGTAGCTTTCTTCTCTTCAAACATATAAATTTCAATTTTTTTTTCTTTTTTCTGATTATCTGTGTTTCTCTTATGCATTGCACCAAAATTCAATTCTGTGTCTTCTACCACCTCTCGGAGAATATTGAAAAACGATTTTGTGGGAACGTCAGAAAGGCTTTTGCCACATCGTTGGGTTTTATGGTTTCGCGCACGCACAAAACTTTGGCCAACAGGCAACAGAATGAAAAACAACAAGAACAACAACAAGAACAACAACTAGGCCAACTTCTGGCTTGCAGTTTAGAGTTTATAGCGCCGAAAATGTTCATTTTCATTTTCATATTGCTGCTCCTTGAGGCGCGGCCGACCTGCAGCAACTGTTTCCTCTGTTTGCATTTGGCTGCTGCACAAAACTTTTCCGGGCAGCCAATCAAATTGCGGTTAAGCGTGCGTAACCAAGCACCTGCGCGGCCAGCCAGACGATAGGGTGTGGCTGGGGCTGAACGTTGTTTTACTAGTTGGCAATCAAAAATTTATGGCTAGCATAAAGCGGCGGATGCTTTAAATTACCGCAGCAGAGCCGCCTTCTGGGCCTGGTCCAGCATTAAGTGCCACATAATTGCTTAATCTCTGCGGCTTTTACACGACAGCGTAATAATTTATTTGACTGTCAGTTGCGAGCACAAAAATTAAGAGACAGCGACCGAGAGACATGAAAATTAAAACGAAAAATTGCCAGCGGAAAACGACAACGCAAATTATGCAGTCATGTCCCCTTGCGCCACAAAAAAAAACAGGGGTGGGGTTATTATTTTCGCCCCTTTTTTTTTGTTCTTTTGGTTCAGTAAAGGATTTATGGCCAGGCTGAACCAACCAGCCAGCCAGGCAGTTGGTAGGTCAGTCTATGAGTAACTGTTGCTGTTTGCCGGCCAATTGCACATTGTGCATACTTGAACTCAACAGCTGATGACTTTTATTCAATTACATTTGTTAACGCAAAAAAAGGACATGCTAGACGTGTTGTGCTTCGAAAGTATCGAAGCTTTGCTTGCCTTCTTTTTAGGCTTCGGAGAGAAGTGAAGAGCTGCAATTCTAATTGAATTAGTCTATTAATAAATAAATGCACATTTAATTAAATTGATTTAATCGATATGCTTCTTGTTTGCAGTTGAGTCGAGAATATATACCTTGAGGAAAATATGCATGAAAAGCGAGAGCACGGCATGTGCCAGAAATTGATGCACAACATACTTGGTATACCTCGAATTTTCAACAATATTTAACCAGGACAAAGTCAGGTAAGTTTTAATATATATAGATATATTTTTCCTATCAAAAACTATTTGACGACATTCGGCACAGACTATAGCTAGGATATGGTGCGGCATAGGTGAAGTGCAACAAGACCTTTAGATAAGTTCATTTGATAATTGATATATTTAAGCCAAACACACAACCCACAGAGTTAAGATATGACCACGACGTGAGCGGCACTTTAATATCTGGTTTATCAAATCTCCGCAATGTGCTGAAAACCAGGAAATTTACTCAACTGTTTAAACGGAAACAATGCACAGCAAAACAAAGCTATTTAGAGATTCGAGCTTAAGTTGAATGAGGGCTTGCTCTCACACTTAAGTATTCGCACGGCAAAGGAATCACAAATCAAGTTCTCTTAACCACAATTCTCGTAAAGTTCAGATAAAGGCACGTGCATAAATTAAGCGCAAATTGCTTCAAAACAACAAAAACAACAAGTGCAAGTGCGAGACATCATATGCACAGTGCATAAATTTACACCTAATCAAGGCAATGCTGAAAGGAATTCGACAGAGCGCCAGGAAGTAGGCAACAATAACTTGAAAATACGCAAGTGTGTGTGTGTGTATGCAACATAATAACGTGCATATTTTGAAGATTAATTGATTTTAATTAGTGCAGGAATAAATAGTAAGTCAAGTGGTCGGTGGCAATCGCAGCCTCCACACACACACACACGGAATCCTCTCAAATACGATTGATTGATCGCCACAAGGACTGAATTATACATGTGTATATCCTTTTAGGTTATGGCAGGCAGTCCGCCATGTTTGTTTATAACAGCATTTAATTACAAAATCATAAGCTGTCAGCAGACCCACACACACACACACACACACACACACTCACACACACACACACACGGTAAACTCCTTTTCAGCTCTCTGCACTTGACAGTTGCCTGCCTAAGGCGTTTATCTGTGCAACATAATGATGATGTCCTCCTGCCAGGAGGACCCAGCCCCCTACCCGATGGTGGGGTGGGCCGCATAAAATATGCACAACACTGCACTTTGATATATGCGATGCCACGCTGTCGCATTTATTTACCCAAGCATCGGGCTCTGCCCCAAACCAGTTGCAGCAACCAGCATCAGGCAACCGCCAGCAGCAGCGACAACAACAAAAACAACAACAACTTACACGCACGTCGAAAAGCGCAAAAAACTGCATATTTTCAATATGATGCCGTGTCAATAACAGTTATAGTGCCCCGCCCACAATCAAGTACATGCACATTTGGCGCGAATCGGGGTATATACGGATCGGGGTGCGGCTTGTTACTTTCATGCAGGCGTCCCAATGCGCTGCCATTTTGCATGAAGAGAAAACTTAAATAGGGACTTTTTTCTGTAAGATTAAACACAAATATCGAACTCAGGGCTTGTTCGTTACGTGACGCTTACAATTCTCAAATTGTTATAGCAGCAAAAGGCCAAGCTAAATATTAGTAATTTATTTCCGAATTTCCACCTCTTATTAATCTTAATATGTTTTATATGACAAACAACAATTATAGGCTAAAAATTGATATATTTTTTTAATTTGGATTGGTTGCAGATATTCGAAAGTAACTCTAATATATACCCTTAAATACGGAATACTAAGCCACTGAGTGATTTACCCCGGCTAAGTAACTTTATTCCATGAAAGCGAGAAAAACACTTCACATTAATCACATAAAACAGTTGCAGGTGCCATGATATTATCTTCATCTGGTGGATATCCAAGGAGTGCAGCGCATTCGAAGACAATCAGCACCTTACAAGATGAGCAGAGTTGGAAAATGCCAGCGGGGGTGTGGGGGAGTGAGTGGCGGGGACATCTGGCAAGTAATGCCAGCTGTTTGGTTTTCATGAGAACTTCCTTCAACTTCCGCTTTGATGGTAAGCAAAAGGTTCTCGCTTTCGGTTGCAGCCACAAAGTGAAAAACGCTACAAGCGCCAAATATTTCATGGCAGCTGCATGCACGACACGCCCCCACGCCCACAAGTGGGTGGCTTGGGTGGGTGTGGCGCATGTCTAGAGGCATGTTTGTTTATTTGCATCGGCTAAACATTGCCCGGCGGAGGAGGAGAGCTGCAAGATTTTGGATGGCAGCCAAAAGAAAAAGCGCAACACAAATACGCATATCAAATGTTTGTCAGCTAGCAGAAAAATTCCAGCTAAAAAAAGCAACACATTTTGCCAAAGTGAACGTATTTATGTGTGTGTGTGTGTGTGTGTGTGTGTGCTCAAAGAGACTTTTGACTTTGCATGCAACTGAGCATATGAGCGTGATTTCTGCATTTGAGCTTTTTGCCGGGGCATAAAACGAAACTGGAACTGAACGGAACAGAACGGAGCTGCGACTACGACCCCTAGGAAGAGGAGCATGAGGAAGAGACTGTCCAGTTTTGCCCCAGTTCTACTTGAACTCTCCTCCATTCCGCCCCTGGTGCGCCGCACTGTTCGTCTGTCTATCTGTAAAGCCTGCTGAAATTTCAAGCACTTTTGACACTTTTACACCGACTACACGCACACACACAGACACATGCAGAGCGAGAGAGAGAGAGAGATAGGCAGAGAGAGAGGGAGATAGCAACATGTAAGCTATACCACCCAGGCGGACAGTGTCCTAGTGTGCGACAGCCGAGGACACCCCTGAACCCGGGGCAAAGCGTTTGGCATAGTCTTACACAAAGATTTACGTACAACATGTTGACATAAAGTGCGCAAAAGTGGAATTGCATTTCGTATGAAACTTGAGTATGCTCTTTTGTTAACACGATGATGACACGCACACACACATACACACACACACGCACATCAACGCACACAAACAGATATGCACAACTTTCCGCTTCAGTCTTTGTGGTCCTTTCACTCTTTGGGCATTTTTAACAAGGCATAATGTGGCACACACAGATAACCCTCACCCATACACGCACACACACACACTCTTCACACTTTAAGTGTTGCGGCTTAAAATTGCTGGCATTATTGTGCGCAGCAGTTGGCATAGTTGAACTTGAATGCCGAATTGCTCATTCCTGATCGAAAACTCAATCACATAAGCTCCAATTAGGCATAAATGACGCACTAAACAATGCAACAACAATGAAATGGATTGTATTTAATTAAGGAACTTGCATTCTTATTTTATTTAAAGGTTTTTTTTTTAATTTATATTTTACTAGCAATAAATAAACTATAGATTCTATACAAATCTTATAATAGTGAGCTTATAAGGAACAAAGTATATAATAATACAGGTATTTTTAACAAGTGCATATAAGTATTTAATAACTGTGTGTGTATGCATGTGTGTGTGTGTGGGCGTTTGTGTGTGTTAGTGTATGCATGCATGTATGTGTGCATTTATGTATATATATACGCATGCATGTTGGTTTTCCAATACCAAACACAGACCAAGCTTATTTATTGCTGTGCTGCAAATTTAAATAAAACGAACTTCTACCAAGTGCTTTACTCCTCGATTCTCAAGAATTTAAGTAGGCTCTGCAGTTTTCGTGCTTGGGCTAGTAGTGTAGTGTTTTTTTTTGGTGCTTTTTTTTTGTTTTTTTTTTGTGTTTTTTTGTTTTTGGTGTTTTTTTTTGGTGTTTTTTTTTGGTGTTTTTTTTTTGGTGTTTTTTTTTTTGGTGTTTTTTTTTGGTGTTTTTTTTTTTTTTGTGTTTTTTCTTGTTTTTTTTTGGTGTTTTTTTTTGTTTTTTTTTTTTGTGTTTTTTTTTGGTGTGAATGTGTTTATATGTATGTATATTTACGTGTGTATAAATATGTATGTATGTATGCTTGCATGCATGCATGCGTGCATGTATGCATGTGTGCATGTATGTATGTATGCATGTATGCATGTATGCATGTATGCATGTATGTATGCATGTATGTATGTATGTATATATGCATGTTTGCAGTATGTATGCATGCATGTAAGCATGTATGCATGCATGTAAGCATGTATGCATGCATGTAAGCATGTATGCATGCATGTAAGCATGTATGCATGCATGTAAGCATGTATGGTGTATATATATATGTATACAAAACAAAAATGCATACAAGCATTATAAACAAATAGGCATGCATATGCTAACTTCAAACAAAACCAAAAAGTCTATTATTCGCATTTCCCACTGAGGAAGCTTGGAATCTGCAAACACATCTCAAGTGATTTCCACCAAGGAGGTATGGATCCAAAAACTGCGAAAAAACCCTTTAGATGAATTTTGACAAAAATGTTTGAAAATATCTTTGAAGCTGATCGCATGGTAAGTAAACCCTTTCATACCACCTTATTTCGCTAATTATATTATGACATGATATTTCCCAAATCTCTGAAACATATATAAAACATAACTGAAAAGTGAAAGTTTCAGGCACATGATATGAAAATTCTCAGCATTAGGAGTAAACAATACTGTGTTCGAGCTTTGACTCCATCTTTGCTCACACAAAGATGCTTGGCTCGCTTTGCTTTCCATTAAGCCTAAACTGATTTTGAACATTTTTTCGTATATTTCGTTAAAAAATAAAAGTGGTTTCAAGGCAGCCTGTGGTACACTCTAGATTCAATTTGTTTGTGCATTAACCTAGACACCTTCAACACTTTGGATAGCTCGAAATGGCGGGTAATTACGCCAGCTGGACCAGCCAGGTGGGTCCTGGCTGCTGGCTCCCAACATTTTTCAGCACTTAAGTGGCCTTTAACACCTGATGGTGGTGGGGCTGCTGCTGCTGCTGGTCGTCTAGGTAGTTTGTGTAGCTTGTTTGTGGCCATTAGGAAAAATCTAAAGCAAAATTGAAACGCTACGTGACCATAAATAAAATTGACAAATGTCGCTCGGGTTCTTCTCTGCACACTCTGCTCATATTTTCGTCATTTTTCAGGGCCAGGCGACGGCATTTGGCGCAAATTGAGTTTGCGGATTTGGAGCTGAGCATATTTGTTATGCAAAACTGTGCGTGATAGATATCAAAATATATGTATATACATATATAAAATTCAGTTATCGCGATGGCAATGTCTGCCCAGAGCAAAACTCTTAACTCAATTAGAAGAAACGCTCTCTCGCATATGCACACACAGACACGAATACAAAATGCAAATCACATAAAAGGCGTTGAGCATAAGATTTGCCATAATGATTGCATAATCATAATCACAAGCTTCTGGCTATGCCCGACGGACACAAAATTTTGATTTCATTGGCCACTTGATTGGCATAAGTAAGAATTACCAAATTGCCAATTCGCATTGTCGATGATCGGCCCCGGGAGCGGGTCTTCTTTGTTCGGGTAGGGTTCGGCTTCGGGTCCGTGTGAAGCAGCTCTTTAAAAGCGTACATAACATTTAATTTGATTGCCGCATACTTTCAGGCGCTCAAATGGCCATGAAAATACATATTGAGCTCAGCTCCATAAAAGGCAGTTTTATTAACTTCAGTACAAATAGAAGAGCGGGCAGGGGGCAATGACTGCAGCCACAGCAACAACAATAGCCACCAGCCACAACACAGCAACAACAAAGTGGCCTACAGGCACACACGCACACAGACACAAACGTCCCGATAGCGGGGTGTGCCAGCCGACAAAGCTGTCAGTGCTGGTATTAAAACAGGCGACAAAATTGGTATAATATTTTCATACAATATATTTTACTGGCATATATGGCATATATATTTTTAATGAGGAAGGATATTTTTCAACTTAATTTTACGTTCACATCTCCTTAGGGGCTATTACCCGGCTTAGTCCGGGCAGAGTATATTTAGGCGTATTGACATATATGTAAACATAAATAATGCATGTTTAATATTATGTTTGCTTTCTGGTTTACGCTTTAGGTATTGTTTTTAAAGCCAAAAATCAACAAATACAGTTTACCCATTTCCTAGACAATCCAAAATCCCGTACCTTACAAACATTCTGCCTCTATAAAAAATAGACCATTGCATCTAATGTCAACATTTTTGTCGGCTGCACGCGTATCTGGTTTAGGAAGCACATTGATATATACACACAAATACGTGCGCATGTGTGTGCATGCATGAAGGTATAAGCACATACAATTCAATTTCCTCAAATGTTGTATTTATTATTTCCTCATTGCACTGTTGACGACGACGTCCTTGTCGGAGTTAGTCCGTAAATCGCAACAGTTAAACAAGCGGGCGCACACAGACAGATAGTAATACAGGAATACAGACAAAAGCACACACACACACACACACACACACAATATATATACTTGTGTATGAAATTTGACAATATTGTCGGCGAGCACACACACAAAAAGGCAACATGAGGCACGCTTGCAGGCAGGTAATCGGTCCGTCTGTGTGGCTCAAATGGAGGCAGGATGGCAGCCAGCAGGCAAGCAGCACCCTGCCTCTGATCCCGGCTCCCCGTTTCTGCGCCTGCTGCTATTATATCCTGTGCACATTGCAGTGCTTCATGCTTTAAACAATGCGATAAAATGGTATTAGTCACGTTAAATTGAATTTATTTAAGCGCGCTTTTAGGCGCATACCCGGGCAAGACTCGGCATAAGCTTCTGTTGCCTGCATCCCAACCCCTCGTGCCTGAAACAACAACATTGCAGCCGCTTTATGACACACTCACTGTGTATGTGTGTGTGTGTGTGTGTGTGCGAGTTAAGCCTCATTGTCAGCATATCCTTTGAGTGTTTTATGTTGGGCGCACAGCAACAAAGCGATGCGACACGAGCCGCTGCCAGTGCTTGGGGTAGTGGGAGCTGGTGCCGGAGTGGGAGCTGCTGCCGGAGCCGGAGCCGGATCCAGAGGCTGACGATTACCAGCCACGACTGCGGCGGATTCAATTGCTTTGGCTACCTGTGCTGCGCTGCCTGCCACGCCTGTCTATTAAATACGAGAATTATGCAAATTATGCGGGCGTTATTAGATTTATTTGCGGCATTATGTGCCCGTCAAGTAGCTTGAATATGTGTGTGGGGGCGTGGGCGTGATTATGGGCGTGGCAAGACAATTGCTCGCTATAAGTAACTCGAAGGCAACTCACGCACCGGCCATGATTTACTCGTTCGCCTTCGCGACATTCTTATGGGACAGTAAATTATGGCAGTAGTCACATTCGCCGGCAAACTCGCTTGCCGACTATCTTAGTGAGAGAAAAGGAGAGCGAGAGCGGAAGGTGGAGAGCAAAAAGTTAAAGAAGTGAAAAGATGAGCGTACGTGAAACTTCGAATCAGTCAAGATCTGTGTTTTGTGGATGCAGTCACATAAACAGACGCAATAGAATACATTGCACCTGCTGAAAATTGGATGAGTTTTGACCGAGTCTATGTAGGATAGAAAAATGGAAATAAGACCAGGGAACGATTCCTCAATTAGTTGGCATAACTATCACAATATCGAAAATGGAAATAGCAAAAAATGAAGCAAAATAAATATGTTTTTATTGTTTTGCAGTATTGTGCACTCAATTCCGCACTCAATCATAAATAAATAATACAATTTGTTAGGTTTCGCAAACAAAGAACTATGCGAGTGTTTGTTATGCGGGCATTTGACTCGTAAGAATTGTAAATCCCATGTTATTTTCCCAATTGTTTTCTTCAACCATTCGAAACGGGCATTGTGCATGTGTTTCTTCCGCTTCTCCGACAGTCTTTGCACAATTACAATTTATTCCGGTTACTTTGTAGCCTGCGGCTAGTCCTATAAATACCACAGATGGATACAAAAGCTGATCAGCATGATATGCAGACCTTATGCTAATCCTTACACACACACACACACACACACACACACACACACACACACGCACACAATGGTGAATGGAAACAGAAGCGGATTAAACCATTTGGTTGGAATTGTTTTGTTGCAAGTGCTGGGGCAGCAACATTTTTGTGCTGTTGCTGCAGCTGCATAAATATTTAAAATTTAATTGAAATTGCATTTGCGAGAGGCGTGCGCCATGGAGGCGTGAAGGCGTGGCAGCGGGCCAGCGAGGCCATGGCAAGATCAAAAGACAAGCGTTTGGCACTTGTGGAAATCAACGCCTGAAAGCATGCAGCATACAGGCAGAAACGCACACACTCACACACACACACACATACATAGGAGCTGGAAA